GAATCCTTAGTAATCCCTTTCCTTAGGAGTTCATATTTTTGCCGGAAAATTCAATTAGTTGATGTTTCATGTATGTGTGCACATTTTTTCGTCAACGTTCTCTCCAAGAATTCTGAACCAATTTTGTATATTCAAAAAAATTCGAAAAACATCATCTAAAAATCATATTGATTAGTTTTTAGCAAGGGTTGTCCGGGCCGTTACTTCGTAATTAATTGTTAAAATGGATTATTTTAAATGAAACTTTGTATGATGATAAATGACTCTCTTAGGACATACACCGAGTATGTACTAGGCGCGTGTTCGTACAGTTGAAAAGGAGAGTTCTTACGAATCCACTTATCAAGAAGTTCATAAAATCGGATGAGGTGCTCTAATAATAAGACAAAATGCCACTGACTCCGTTTTTAATTTTTTATTTTTATATTACTTGAAAGTTAAAGCAAATATAAAAAAATACAATATTTTTCTCTTGATGTTAGGAATCCATATCAGGCAGCTAGTAGATTCGACGTTAGAAAGGACCCTATGATCGCTGATGGGTTCTCACTGGTAAAAGTTTTCACAGGGGTTTCGAAAATTAAATAAAAGGGGGACCCACAAAATGGCAGTTCATAATATATATATATATAATATATATATATATATATATATATACTATATGACCCGACAGACTTCATGTACCCACGTCTACAATTCAAAACTCCAAATTTTTAATATCCTATCCTATACTTTTAAATATCCTATTTGATGTCATGCCTTTGTAATTCATTTATGGTCTTAGCAAATTCAGAAAAAAATAATATAGTATCTGCGGTAAAAGAACAATATCACATTTGATTTTACCACACAACATTATTGCTTCAATAATTTAGTCTATAATTTTCATAGCCTCGTACAATATTCTACTCGTTTTTTGGCAAATATATTTTCTAAAGTACATTTTTCTTACTAATAATTTAATAAACAAAGCACTCTTCAATCTAAGATCAACTTGTAAATATTACATATCAAATGCCAAACAAATGAATTTTTGATACATGAAACAAAGTTCTAAATCATTTTTCTAATAAGTAGAAATATTTTTTTTGTATTGTTAAATAATTTGGTAAAGTAAACCCAAATGCGACATGTATAACTTTTAAAAAAACAATGTATATGCAATTTTGGACTTATTGCGTTATTAATTAAACTGAATTATATAATTGCATCTGCCAAATAAATACTGTTGACATGCTGTTGGCTGTATCTCATATTATTTTAATTTCTAGCACATCTCAGCTACTTTTCGGCAATTATATTACATTTATCTTGTATATTATATTCTACTATGATCTAGGCTCAAGTATTCTAATATCAAGTGAATTGACATTTCTAGCAGACGACAGTTCAAAAGTTTTCAATATCAAACAATGACAAGTAGGTTTTTGTAATTTTTACCATTTATTTCTATAATATTACTATAGTTTTATCGTTCATTAAATCTTAAAAAATTCCTTTGACAAACTCTAAAAATAATTATCAAAATCAGAATAACCGTTTAGGAGAAGTATCAAATCATACACCCGTACACAGAAGAATTTTATATATAAGATATAAATTAAATCATAAAACAGAATTCATAGAATGATTTAACTAACTTAAAGCAGATCATTAAACATTACTTACTAACAATTATATATATTCTTTCCGTGTTAGACTTTCCATTGGCTTAGTTGTTAAAACGCTTCGAATCAGACGTTCTAGTTTTGATACTCGCCTCAGGCAGTCTGATGCTAAGCAGTAGTGACACAGCATTTCACTTGACAATATATAAGGCCATATGTTTCCAAATGAAAATAGCTCTTATCCGACGTTGCTGCATCTATAAAAATTGATCAGAATTGCAGAAATTGTAATAATAAATTATTTTAGGAAATAAGCACACCAGCTCATAGCACTCTCAATTGCTTTGAATAATACATAAAAAATAATTTTATCACGTAAAATATATTGTATCACCAATCGATCTATATTACTGGCAATTGATGAAATAATAATGATAATAATAATAAGAATTAATAATAAAAATGGTTAAATTCAACAGTATAATATAAGATAAGCTAACTTAGATTTGTAGGGTTAGTTTTATAAGTTGTGTCCTTTTGAGTCTAAAAGGATGAGTGATGTCATACAATTCTGTAGCTAATTTATTTGGATGATATGATATGTTTATAAGTTTGAGCAATTATTCTTAATATTCAGAATATAATGAATTTTTTTTAAATATGTAATAAATATTAAAAAGCGATATATTTACAAAAGCTTAACGTGGTTTGACCATTCCTAAGATATATGGTTGGCTTAAATATAAAGCATATTTTACATGGATATATAATAGATTACTAGTTTTGTTGACCACATTCGACAAATGCTAAAAATTAAATAGAATATAAATTATTCGCAATAATCATTCGCCGTGTGTGGGCAATATCTTATAGAAATGAACATATTCAAAAAAGAATTCAGTGGACAAAAATCGAAAAGGCAGTATCTGCAAAAGGTGTATAGAAATCTATTCGCTAAAAGTTACGTAAGATGTAAAAAAAATATTTTGACTATTGTTTGCGCTGCCTGTGCTTTCTGAGTACGGCCTTATTATAAGTGACGGTTGTTATAGAATATGATAAAGATTTTAGACCAGAACCTTTTAAATCTTTTATTATACTTTCATAAGGCTATCGAAGGTATTATATGAAAGATCATAAAGCAAAGGACACCCAACTTTAGTAAAAGCATTTATTGACTTCACGCAGAACTGGGTGAGTTTGCTAATTTTATGTTTTCTCGATGTTTCAAATCATTCTGAATCGTTTGAGACAAGATTTAAAAAAATATTTGTGTGTGTGCATGTAATGTGTACTTGAGAAGATTTTTGATCTCTCGTGAACGTTCTTTCAAAAATGGCTATAACTCTATATAACTCTATACCGAGCCGACCTGAAGAAAGTGCGAAGTTTTTCCTCCACGTTTTGCAAAATATTTTGAAGCGGTTTTAAAAATTTAAAAATTATTCGGGAAATATCATTTGCGAAGGGTACTGATTATCCGCTGAAGTTAAGCCTGAATAGAAAGATCTGCCAATGCGTTTCTTCCTAATCAATTAAAAAAAAAAAAAATTGGCTAAAAAGCAGCCGAGTCATCTTTCTAATTGATTTTTAAATTTTGATAAATCTCTGTATGATAATAAAGTTTCTGGTCTGAATAAACATACCAAAAAGTTAGAACCCTACGACTAGTTATTTAATTAATATTAAATAATAATAAAAATTAATTAAAGATTGGATTAATGGACCAATCGACGATTAATTTCAGAAAATAATCAGTCTTGTGTTACTTTTTCAATGTGTAACATTTAAACCATTTGTTGAAACTAACTAATATGTTTAATTAATATGTATAAAAGTGAACATTCTGCAATTAATAAACATTTTCTAACATCATGATTACCTTCATCAACTCTGTATACTTATGAATGACTCATGAAGTAATACATCTATGCAACTACCCTTAAGGCCACTTACATTAATGTTCGTTTAAATATTATTATGTTCCCAAAACTTAAATAATATTTTCAAAATCAGTTTTTACTATTTTAAAACAATACCATTTAAATCTATATTAGAGTGTACTCCTATTCTTCACGCTCTTTCGAAGGTAACTGCTTTCTGAATGTTTTATAAAATTTGTGAAAATGAATAAAAACTCCATCGAATCTCCATGTCAAAAATTAGTAATCTACAACAATTTCTTATATTAAGACGCCCTTAATCAACTCAGTATTCTTATAAATCACTCAGAAATTATTATATATTGAACAATTTATGAACAAAAAACAATGTTGTAAACACACTACAATCCTTTGTTGCACAAACAAAAATTGTTCAGATCAAAATCGAGCGACTTAAATTTGGTTTAATATCCGAA